TATTTAAAGTATTCTGAATATATACTTCACCAATAGTGCAATGATTACAAGATGCATTCAGAAGTATAACAAGCCTACATTTGCACACTGGGGCCATTTTCAATCTGACATTAGACTCATTTTATGTGGCAGGCTGCGAAATTTGCGTGGATAATGTCTTTCATTTCTCCCATCGAAGGGGGAGGGGACTGAAAGAGGAGAGGGGAGAAGGGATTTAACATAGCGAGAGGGAGAAAGCGAGATAGTGTCTTCAAGATGGATAAAAACGAGTAAGTACACCATCATGAGGGCGATCCACCCGCGGACAGAGATGTTTGTAGCCTTAGATAAGTGGAGGATCGTCTGCATAACTAAGTATGTTTATCATCGATCAGACTGAAAATGCCCTCGGTGGTCTCGCAGTTTTTGGCAGACAGCAGCGCTGTGGTGTGCAGCCGGGATGTGTGTTTTCTGTTGCATCTCTGTCTTTAATCTCCCTCATATCCACAGCTAATGTTGGACCGAGCATGGAGTCGGTGCACTGCGTCGACAGGTTTGTATTTCGACGTGAGGTTTTTCAGCCTCAGACGCAGATCGGATGTGTTATTTTTTCCCTGCACTGCAGTTAAACAGTGTAGATGTGTGACATGCTGCTTTAAAATGGTGCCTGTGTTTAATCCATGAGCTCCACGGTTCATTCATAAAAGCCGGCTCCGGTGTGCCGGCTGACATCGGTGGGGATTGTCGAGGTGAAGCGGCGGCGCTCACCAACATGAACTTTTTATACATTTTTCCACAGTTCGAAGCCGCTGCAGGTGAATGTTTTTATTTTTACTACATCCGGTTATTTGAATGATTTCGCAACACGTGTGATCGTTGTCACTGCATCTGTGTGTCGTCGCTATTTAAGGTCTATTTGTAGCTGCAGCCTGATTTATGTTTCCCATAGGTTAACGTCGATGTGCAGGTAGAACTCCGCGTTAAGCTAAACAGGATGCAAATTAGAACTTCCGGTAAGCCGTTTCAAAAATAAAAGCACATGACCCAAAATTGGCGTGGAGGGTGTCACATGCTGTGTGACCCCATTGTGTTAATCAAAGAGATTATGCCAAAGAGTTTAGACGGAGAAAAAGAGAACTAAACATATATGTCAGTTTTGTTAAATATTTAATGTCCAACATAATAAATGTCCCATGTAATTGACAAGTGAAGGTACTTAAGTGAACTTCATTATCTTCCTAATTCAACCATTATTGCTCAAATACATTCAAAGTGAAATGAGAAAATATGACTTAATTTATCATTATCAACTGTTTTAATCCACCCAACCAGTCGCTTTAAATCCAAGTTTATTATCGTCTTTTGTAAATCGTCTTTCGCAGCTACTCTAGACTTTTATCAGTCTGATAGATAACTTGGTTTAAAAAGTTGTCTTATCAGTCAAAATTAATTAAAATGAATGAAGTTTAATCGTTGGACTTCTGTTTGGAAATTTGTTTTTGAAACATGAATGAAATTTTTGCAAATACTTGCAAAGCAAATACTTGGCACGAAAAACACCGATACAACTCTGATCGTGACGACTAATATTTTATTCTGAAATCCAACATCCAGTGACTTCCCGTGGCCTCGCGCTGGCTTCACGCAGCGGCGCCGTTCCGTGTTTTCCTCGCGGATGTAGCCCTCGCGGCCGGTTGAGCGAGGCGGGGTAGTGGTGCGGCCGAGGTTCGGCTGCGGAGCGATCTGCGGCACGACAAAGGGAAGAGGAGACGTCGCTGGCGGCGGACAGAACTCGTTTCAGGGACGCATGTTGTAATATGGTCGAAACAAAAGCGTGAGGAGCGATAGGCCTGTCGTTCTCCTCTAAAATATACCGACAACTACACTTAAAACCCGGCGTCGCTACGCGCTGTAACTTTTTAGTGGATTTATAGGCTGCTCGCGTGGGAAATGGAGAAGAAAAGGTGGGATTGCACTGCTCTCCCCAAGGGCTGGAAAATGGAAGAAGTGACCAGAAAGTCGGGTTTGTCCGCTGGAAAAAGCGATGTCTATTATTTTAGGTACTAAAACGAACCGGGGGGCTCGTAAAGAGAAACTTTATGTGGGGAGGGGGGACAGGGGGTGTGTGATGAGGCGGGGTGGCGGTGGTCGGTATAAAGTTTTGAATGTGAGGGAGGAGGAGGAGGGAGAAGGAGCGGGGCTGCGAGGCCAGACAGGCCGGGCTCCTCTCGCTGCCGCCGGGAGGAGGAGCGTGGTGACCCGGGCAGACTAGCAGCAGCAGCTGACGAGGCCTCTGATGTTTCCTAAGAACAAACACACTCAGTGTCATTACTCGTCTTTTTTCTGTGATCTGCCATTGAAGTGAATGAACAACGCCAGATTTGTTTTCATTTAGCAGAGGAGAAGAGCAAGATGAGGAGCAGAGGCAAGAGAGGGGGGAGGCGGGTCGGTTGTATAGTTTGTGGTAGGCGAACTGTGTTCAATCATACTGCTGTTTACTGTGCTGTGTGGTGATGTAACACACATCTGCATGACGTCCTGGCACGTGTCCACCCACAGCTGTGTTGCCCATTCAGGTTCAAAAACAAACCAAGAAAAGACGTTGTAGCTCCCACACGTGGAGCCACAATGTCTCCATCCTGAAGTGTGTGTCGATATTGTCATGTTTACTCACAGATTCTCAGAGGTTATACATTGTGTTTGATATCTATATATATTCATTTCTGCTCCTCATGCTACCAAAGAGCTTTTAATTGAGATCAGGGCCTCGGTTTTTAGATTGCATCCATTTGGCAGAGCGATGTGATGTGGTTTCAGTGTCATCTCTCATTTGGATGTGCTCTGGTTGTGCTCTGACTTGTTGCATGTTGTTGTTACTTTTCTGTCTGTTGTGCCTTTATATGTGTTCAGTTCTCACTGTGGTTTTTTGTGTCTTCTGTTCTGACCTGTCTTGTACTTTTGGTGACATGATGACGATTGTGGTGAGCGGAGTGGTTTTTCTCATGTCCTGTCCACTGCCTCCCCCTCTCCTCCACCAGTCCGTCTGGGAAGAAGTTTCGAAGCAAGCCTCAGCTGGCCCGTTACCTTGGCAACCAGATGGACCTCAGCTCCTTCGACTTCCGCACGGGGAAGATGCTGATAAGCAAGCTGAACAAGAACCGCCAGAGGCTGCGATACGACAACAACAACCAGAACAAGGTGAGAACAAGCAACACTGACTGTGACACGCCTTTCGGATACCTGTGACCCTGCTCAGACCTGGTATGAACTTCCATCCTGAGTGATCTGATCTCTAGAGGACAGCTCTAAGCTCAGGTCTCAATGCACACAAACGTGTCCGGAACACACTGACCAAATTCAGAGGTGTTCTGGGATGCCAGAACACCTCTGACCTTTATCAGTGTGGCCACATTTTTCTTGCTAGGTGAATGCATCCTGAGCCACCCATGAGGAACCACTCACTCAGCTGATGTCTCTATTTTTAAGTTTCTTGGTGTCCATACACTGATTTATTTTTAGCCACCTCCACAATATCAACTCTGATCCCCAACAGTAGCTGATAATTTCCTCAAATTGCTAAAATCTTTCTTCACAGCTATTGCACAAGTTTCACCCAGCTCCTCCTGACTCCTCTTTCCCTCACTCTTGCTCGCGCTTGACAGTCACACACATCGTCACACACACACACACACACACACACACACACACACACACACACACACACAAACACACAAACACAGTGACATTGGCATTGGACACATCTAGAAACTCAGACTGGGCGAAAACAACATAATTTTGTTTTTGCCAACAAAAATGACTGTTGTGATTTTCTGCATATAGAGCGGGGAAGGGAGAGCCGATCAAAAGCACTTACATCATTCATTTTAGTGTCAGGTGTGAACACACATATTTAGTGCTGACCACTTCTGATCAGATCTGTCATGATGGATTTAATACCAGGTCTGAACAGGACCTATGTTCATATTACACTCTGTTTACTATGTAGTGCTAATAGTGACCATAAACCTTCTGTGGACGTGGATGTCGTAGTAACATTGCTTGTGATAGTATTGCACAGTTAAAATGTTGGTGAGTTCTTTAATAAACATTTTTACAGTCTTATCAGCCTGTTTATTAAAAGTAAAACAAATAACTTCACAACAGCTGAATTGAACTTCTACTTCACTGCTACACCAGGTGACTATGTGTTGATTAAAAACAGTATCTTTAAAGTTACTTCTCCGGACTTTCAAGCCTGTTTTCTCTATTTACTGGTTCACTTCGGTGAACTATTAAATCCACAGACACAGTAAAAGCTTTGTTCTCCTCTGAATGGCTACATGTGATCTTTAAATAACCTTGTGCACATGTATTTTCTCTCCTGTCCATCCTGCCCTTGCATCTTTCGTCTTTTAAGGGCAAACCTGACTTGAACACATCACTGCCAGTCAGACAGACGGCCTCCATCTTTAAGCAGCCTGTTACCAAGGTTACCAACCATCCCAACAACAAAGTGAAGACGGACCCTCAGAAAGCCGTGGACCAGCCCAGACAGGTAAACAGCATCTGTCCGTCACAGTTAACATCATCCCACATAAACCTGAGACATGTGTTCTCTGACTCTGACACTGTTTTATTGTTCACAGCTTTTCTGGGAGAAGAAGCTCAGCGGTCTTAATGCTTATGACATCGCAGAGGAACTGGTGAAAACAATGGAACTGCCTAAAGGCCTGCAAGGTAATTACACCAATTACACTTTGTTTATTTTCCTTTAGTATCATTCGGGTCCTTTTTTATAAAATAGTTTAATTTGATTTATTCATGAGGGACCAATATCAAACACAAATGCTGCACCAGAGTAAGAGTGAGGTTAATTTCCATCAGCCGTCCTCTGGTATGTCACAATTAAAACTTGCACAAAAGTAGACAGACTAGACACAATACCAAACCCACACACACCGGGTCCACACCACGAGCATGTTAGACCAATAAAAACACAAGGATGTTTGAATGCCAAATAAAATGAGTCTTACACAGAGTTAAGCAACACTTTTAGAATATAGAGTAGGAGGCGGCCAGTAGCTCACCTGGTTAGCTGGTTCCCCACATACGCTTGAGTCCTCCTGCAGCGGCTGCAGGTTCGGTTTCAACCTGACCTGGTGCTGCATGTATTACTGGCTCTGTCTCCATTAAATACTCTGAATCTGTCTTTAAAAAAAACTAAAAAAAAAGAGAGAATTAATGAAAATGTAGAGTCAGGAGTTTTAGATAGAAGTAGCTTTTAGCAGTTTGTTGAGCAGCAGTTCTTTTTATTTTATATGATATCAGTTTTAAGAAACACACGTTTCTGTAAAAATATCTGATAATCATTCGGTTGCTCTCTTAGGTGTTGGTCCAGGTTGCACAGATAAGACTCTGTTGTCGGCAATTGCGAGCGCCCTCCACACCAGCGCTGCTCCCATCACCGGTCAGCTGTCTGCAGCTGTAGAGAAGAACCCGGGAGTGTGGCTCAACACAGCACAGCCGCTATGCAAGGCTTTTATTGTCACCGACGAGGACATCAGGTGGGTGATCACTGAACTCTACTGTACACTGTTTGAGCATCTGTTGCAATGTGTGCCAAGGAAACAGTTGTGTAACAAATTGTGTTAAGATCTTGTTCACTGTGTTTGAAGATATTCACTACTTGTGTAGTTTGACTGTCATATCTGTTTTTGTGATATTGACTTCTGTTTATCAAAGAAAAACAACAACTAGAACTAGAATGGCACGCACACTTCCACCAACAGTCCCCTTAAATCCACACTACACACCAAAGTCAATCATGTTTGCTGGGACATGGTTGTGAAAACTTTTGAAGATATATATTAACAGTTTATTTCCTGCTGAATCCACACTTTCTCAGCTCCGCATTAAGTTTGGTTACAGGTTTGTAGCCCAATTTGTTTTCCTACTGACTGAAAAAAGCCTACACCCCTTATGAAACCACATTCGTGAGATCCAGATTTTACTTGGATCTGCACGTAATTGATCTCTATAAACAGATTATACACGTGAATTTACAGAACCTCTCAGCGAGGGACAAGATTTTGGGGCCAAAACTCGAAAGGTTTCTGTTCCTGGTTTATCTTAGCATGTTTGAGCAGGCTTGGTTTGCCCGCAGGTAGACAGTGTGTGTGCAGCGCAGAAGAGGTGGAACACATTGAGCAAATGCATCTGCTATCAGATTTTAGTTTGATTTGCATTCATTTGAAGACAACTGTCAATAGAGATCAGCTAAATGTCGTCTTTTGCTGTCTGTGTTTTGTGTGGAGAAACTTCAATGCTACTTGTCTTGTCAGATTGTAAACAGTTTACAGTGACAGAAGACAAAGTTTTGGTTCAGATATCTCCTGTCTACACAGGAAGCTGTTGAAGTATTGGCTGTTGGACGATAACTGATGGACTCTTGTGGCCATTACACTCTTAAATTGGCACCAAATTGCTCACTCACAGATATCACTCCCCTAAATGTGTCGGATATGTTTGATTTAGATCCATGAATTATTACCTGAACAATTGGTGAATATGTCAGAACACAACAATTCTCCATGTTCATGAATGTGATTTAACTTCCTGGATCTGCCTCCGTGCCAACATTTTTTGAGTTCTTTCTTGGCCCATGTCCCATTCTGCTAAGTTTCATGGAAATACGTTGGGAAGTTTCCAACTGACAAAATATACTGTCCTTGTTGAAGGTAAAAAGGCAAAGAAATAATTAAAAGATCTGCCAAATCAGAAAAATTGTATTTTGCCCAAAGATGACAGCATTATCTCTGATTTAAATTATCAAGATTTCATAACAAGTGACCCTGCTCTCTGTAAAAAAGAATACACACACACACACACACACACACACACAAACACCATCTGCTGTGTGCTGATTCAGTGGTTATGGGCAGCTGTAACTGCCAACTGTAACAGCTTCCTGTTGTGTTTGTGTGTAGGAAACAGGAGGAGCTAGTGTACAGTGTGAGGAAAAGGCTGGAGGAGGCACTGATGGCTGATATGTTGGCCCACGTTGAGGAGGCTGCCAACGAGGGGGAGTCTCTGAAGGAGGAGGGCAACAGCAGTGAAGACATGGAGAGCGTATAGCACAGGTCGGTCAGGGGATGATTACATGGCTTCAAATAAAATAACTGAAAACGCTTGAGCTTTGAGAGCTGAGAATTTTATTCCACTTGCGACACAGAGGGAAAAAAAAATGTAAATGTTTTTTTTCTATATCTACTTCTTGCCATTTGCTGAGGTTAAATGAGTTTGTTTGAGATGTAACCTAATTGTTAATATCTTTCCTTTAGGGTTTTGTAAAGCCTGGTTTGGTTCATTAAACGTCTGCAAATACACACACACACACACACACACAC